CCATCTTCGCTTGCTGGCTCCATACTGAAGATCAAGTAACCAGTTGGCTAGCTGGCCAGAAACAATTAGTGACAAAAAACGCTGGCTGACAATAAACCTACAGACGAGAGCCAATTACTCAACAAATATGTCTGTCTGTCTGGATTCAACATAGAACTTCGCACCGAAGTGCACCAGTTCGAGTTGCCACGTTCCAAATAGCACACAAAGGTAAACAAGAAGATGAGTGAAGAGAATCAACACAGTCTGACAAGTATAAGAGTGAAACAGAATGGGTAATGGTAGAAAGGAATATGAAAGATTAAAGAGACTGAATACGTCTGCGCTGGCCATTGACAACGATTTTGAGCCATGATGTCACCTATTGTCTCCAGCCATTGATTCCTAGAGTCCCGAGGGCCCCAACCCGGAAGTCTGAATCTCCCTACCTGACCGACTCAGTTTAACTGTCAAGGATTTCATGGATTGATGAGGCCATGTTTTTGTTTGACCACCACTTACCCTTTTCCAACCTGCACCACCTATATCAGCTAGTAATGCCCGTCGGGGGAGGCGATGGTTAGGCATGCTCAGCACGTGACCTAGCCATCTCAATCTATGTAACTTTATAGCCTCGTGGATTGGTTTTCCCTCCTTACCCAACACTGTACGCCTAACGTCAACATTGCTTACCTTATTAAACCACCTAACGTGAGACAGAGATCGCAGACATCTATGATCGAAAGCAGTCAACCTTTTCATGTCTTCAACTCGTTCGTATTGGCCATGTTTCAGAGCCATAGAGAATTACGGAGAGAACTGCTGAGCAGTACAAACGTCCCTTGGTTGATAGACGGATGTCACGCCTACGCCAGAGATGGTGTAAGTCAGAGAAAGCAGCTCGAGCTTTTTAGATCCGTGGTGAGATTTCGTCGCCAATCAGTTCGTTGGTACTGATACAACTTCCCAAATAGGTGAAGTGGTCAACATGTTCTATCATTTCACTCCCTATCACTAAGCTAGGAGTTGACGTAGTCCAGTCCTGTAACAGCATCTTACATTTTGCAGCAAATATGTGGGAGAAAACGGAGATGAACGGTTCGGGCGTACATCGAGGAGGCGGTTAAATGACATCGCACGCAATGCAGGTCATCGCTTGAGTGGAATCTCAATGGAAAGCAACCAGTGGGTTTTTCAGTACGAGGGTGACATGGAGGAGATCGTGTGGCAAGGAGAAGAAGGTGAGAGATTATGGGAAGTCATAAACCCAGATGAAGAGGTCGGCAGAAGATAGGACAAAATGGAGATGTGTTGTTGAAGCCGTAAGCTCCTCTTGGAACCTGAGGGAATAATGATAATAAATCTTGTTTTGGTTTTACAGATTTTTAAATTAGAATCACATCAGAATCAAATGATGATAAAAAAGTAGAAGGTGAAAATAAAACAAACAAAAAAAATGATAATCACCCAAAATTATTAAAAGGTCACTTTTTTTAACAATTATAGCAAAATAAAACCACAACTGAAGTACATACAGCTACTTTTAGTAGGTATGAGAAAGAAAAAAGTAGTAATAATGAACAAAAGTACAAAAGTAAACAGAAGCAAAAAATAAGTACGCGCTATCTCCAGCCTCTCCTTTCTATTCTCTCTCTCTCTAGCTTTATATATTCAAAGTTTTGGTACACAGAGAAAATATATCAAGAAGTAAAAATAACCCAAATATACCTTAAGAGCAAATTTAGATAAAAACAACACAAATGTGAAGTAGGAATTCCAAAGGACAACATTAAGATGATGTCATCAGATTTCGTCACGATACAACACACAGTGAGAGAGGGGGGGTACTGGACAGTTGTTTTCGTTCTAGTCCGAGACTCTTTATCAGTAATTGATTCCCAGGGATCATACATACTCGACCCTTCAACTATTTGGACGGTAATTCAATGCCCTAGTTAATTCGTGGTAGAGCGCTACGCCCAACCACTGGCTCCAATGATGATCCACTTCACCTTAACTGGCTACAACTACGCAGTTCAGCTTCAGGAGATACACGCAACAGCCGTCAGGGAGCTGTAGATTAATATTTAGATAATGGATTTTACCAGATCCTGGCTTCGATTCCTGATAGGGGTAGTGGATGTACACTATTGAAGAGTCCCAAGATAGGAGAAAAAAACGAGCTGTGCAATACTCTCTGGTTTTCAATGATTCCCCCCCCACCTCCACCCCGTCTGAATGATGTTGATCCATGATGAAATCTATACAGAGATTAATCCAAATCCCTAGGAAAACTCATAACTTAGATTAATTCAGTGTTAGTATATCAACTAAAAAAAGAAAACAAAATTAACTAAATACAATTTCTCAGAAATGAAAGCACGAGCACCATACACATCTTAAAACAATTTGATAGCACACACAAGCACAACGTCTTAAGCGTTAACTCCAAAAATGGAGAGAGAGGTCTTTGGAATTCTGTACGATGATTACTACATCCTATAAGAAACTTCGGCAAAGAGAGCACGACGAATGCCAGGGCAATTCTAAAAGCCTGGCACACTCGTATCAATTTGCAATCAATGGACATCTAAGTATCGATCACATTTATCAATCAGCAAAGAATATGTCAAACGATCACTAGGTCAAATACTATATCAATATAAATAGATATAATCCAAAGGAAATCTCTAAGACCAACCAATTACAATGAAAGTCACTAAGAACACTCCTACGAATGATCCCCCCCCGGCATCCTGTATGTACAAACTCCCCCACCACTAAGGAGGATTTGATCTCTCCCAAGTTTGATTACGGATTAATGTCAATTAGAGAACCACTGAAAATCCAGGGAGTAATGGAGGAATATTTCGTCCTAGTTTGGAACTGATCGACAGTACACATCCAGTGGGACGAAGTTTTCTGGAGTTCTAGTGATAAGTCATTACTAGTGAAGTCGGGAGTGAAGACAAACATTCGCCACAGATGGCATTGGCTGGATGTCACGTTAAACCAAATCAAAAATTGGTAGATGTTAGAATTCATAGACTGGTCATTGAGTTAGGTCCACTGGCTGAATGACCTACGAGTCCGTCTTGTGACCGGAAGATCCTGTATTCGAACCGCAGAGGTGGGTGCGTACTGCCGAGGAGCCCAAAACAGGACGAAACGGTTGGCTGTCATTCAGTACTCCCCTCTGCTTTTCGACGGTTCTCTCTAACAGATATCAATCGGTTGTCAAATCTGAAACAAACCATTTTTATCCGTATTTAAAATAAGTAAATAACGGATACACACATAACCTTCTACCTCATTTTCTCTCTCTATTTTTGACATCGTTATTCATCCATAGCTGTGAGTCGGTGACACAGTGGTAGAATGGTCGCCGACCATGCAGGTGGTCCTGGGTTCGATCCCCGACCGGTGCATTCCTTTATCTCACTAAGCAAGTAATAAGACTGGTAAGGAGGAATGTTCGGCATGAGGCTAGTAACCCCATCCTGTGAAAAATAATCATCACTGCTACAGAAACTTCAAGCCTATAACCTTGAAGCCTTATTTTTCACTGGGAAAGTAAAGGAATAAAAAAATTCATCCATAGGAAGTTTATAATCAGTATGAATAGAATTCAGTATGAACACTACTCATGTGCAATTATTATTATGTTTGCCGGCGACCATAACCACGTTGAAAGCACCGGTTCTCGTCCGATCACCGAAGTTAAGCAACGTTGGGCCCGGTTAGTACTTGCATGGGTGACCGGCTGGGAATACCGGGTGTTGCCGGCTTTGGGTCCCAGTGGCTTAATGGTCAATGAGCTGGCCTTGTAACTAAAAGGTCCTGGTTCGAACCCCGATGGATACGTACTGGTGAAGAGTCCCAAACTAGGGGAAAGCAGTTGTCGGGGTACTAGTTCAAATGGTAGAGCGTTCGCTTAGCATGCGAGAGGTACTGGGATCGATGCCCAGGTACTCCAACTCACCTCGTCTCCACCCTCGAGGCGGTGACAAGCATTTGCGCATCGGTGGCACAGCGGTTAGTACACTCGCCGACCATACACATGGTCCGGGTTCGATCCCCGGCCGACGCACAGCTTTACCTCGCTAAGCCACAAATAATGCTGGTAAAGAGGAAAGGTTGGCATGAGGCTAGCAACCCCATCCTGTAAAAATAAACACTGCTACAGAAACTTTAAGCCACTAGCTTGAAGACCTATGTTCCACTGGGAACGTGAAGGAAAAATTATTATTATTTAGTATTATTAGTCTTTTGAAAAATAACAAAACAAAAACCAAATCTGATGACAATTTCAGGTAGTGAATAATCGTCCTTCCGATTCATAAGACACAGTATCACGATTTGACATCAATCAGTTAGAGAACCACTGGAAACCAACACAGAGTACCGGACACAGCTGTTTCGTCAGCCTAGTTTGAGACTCATCTTTAGTACCCACCTGCTGGGAATCAAACCAAGGACGTTTCGGCTACAAAGTAAGCTCGTAGACCATTTAGTCACTGGGACTCGCGACCTAATGGGGCTCCTAAATTCTAACTTCTACCAATTCACGATATATATATAATATGAAGCAAGCAACTGCCAGTAAATGTCAGAGGTGAGTGTAACTGACCTCTCTTACCTGACTCGGTGGTTATTTGTAGTAACTCATTGTTACAAACTAAGGGGAGGTGAGGGTTCGAATCCCGGAGGAATATTCCAAAGCCACCATGAAACAACTGTACAGTACTCTCAGGTTTTCCAATGGTCATCTACGTGATCAAATCCCTGAGAAGCAACAGTTGATAATCTAATATATTATATGAAAATACTACGAGTTGGTAGCTCTGTTCATCGAAACCTTTCGTTTGAATTGTAAATCTAACCCCATCTCCATAGAACATTCAAAATTATATTGTAGTCCACAGTAAACCTGCTACATTCATTAGTTTAATTGACTTCATCAGACGCAAAAAAGTCAAACGATTTTTGGGAATAAAAGGAGGAATCCTAAAGAATCTTACCATTTTGTAAATGACCAGCAACAGGACGATTTCTTGAATGTGAAAACTGACTACTATTCTGATTTGGAGAACATGTTGAACTAATTGAATTGGTTGATAATACACCTAATTGAGGACATACACCAGTATTTCGAACATCTGTATTTGATGGACCTGGCAATTGAGTAAAATGCTGTCTATCTGTATTCGGAGCTGATGTCAAATTGTAGGATGGCCACATACATGTACGCGGTGATGTACACCGAGGAACACGTCGATTACGACTACCAGTTTGACTTGAAGCTGAACTACTAAGAGGTGATATATTTGACATTAAAGAATTCGGCAGGTGAGAAGATCTTCCATGATGATCTGTGGCATTAACTAAAATATTTGAATAACAGCATATGAATGAATAAGTAAGATAGGTGTACACACGCATACACTGAGAAGACAACATAAATTCCTGATTGTAAAAATATCAATTAGAAACTACTCAGAGAAAGTGTGAATGAGACGAAATTGAGGTGAAAAAGAATTTCTAAGCGTAGTACTATCCAATGTACTATAGATACGAATTCTATAAGTACAGGAATTTACTAAATCGAAAATCGGATATCAATAGGTTTGAAAATACTATCTAAAAATTATGAATTCAAAAAAAGGGCACTGAACAGTAATCAGCACAGTATAAGTTTCCAGTTCCAACCCAACCGAGAGCTGCTACCTTAAATTAATGGTTGGGGGCCTGTATATTACAATGACAGAATACGCTAATCTGACTGCAACTAACATTTCTGCAGGTTCTATGGTGCCAGAAAGGTTGTTAGAATAGTGACTAAACGAAAAGCAGTTACCACCATAGTGTAAGCTGTTTACACGCTAGGCTAGGGTGGTTTGTGGGAAAAGTCGTACTACTAGGGAACAGGGATATGACAGCAGTAAGGTGTCTCCGTCAAATGACTCCGAAGATTGTACATCTTGACTTACCTCTCGGTAGTTCGTAGCCGGTGGAAAGTTATTAATACGAATACGACTCTAAAAAAACAGTTCAAGACAGGTCATGTGTGACTGGTCTCAAGCAGTTATCCCCTGGGCTCCACAGTCACGCAACACTGACACTTTTTCGTATTCAGGTGCCACAAGAAAAAATCAACTTGTACAGTGTGGTACCAGGGAAGTAACAACCTCCCACACACTTCCCAAAGCCCAAGAAGCTCTCCTGACCATCAACTATCCAATTAAAAACACTGCTTTTGGAGATATGTGATTCACTGGTCTAAGCGCTTAACTTCCAGTGGATCACCGGTTCGAACCCCACTTCAAGCACCGAAGTTTGGTCTACGTCTCAGTCAATAGTTATGGCTCACAGCCAACTGCATAGGATGGCCGACTAGTTGTTGCGTAACATTGACGCATACTAAGCAGCGTAGTACACACTCTGTTCCGGTTAGTAAAATCAGTCGGTAGGATATCTATCCCTTAGACTTCAGTTTTTTCCCTGTTGGTATTCATTTTATCCATGACTAAAGAATTCACTCACACTATACTTATGTCGCACAAATTTGTACTCAAAAAGTGATAAGCAGCCAAACTGTTTACACATCGATTTACCTCATAATCAATTTCTGAGTCTTTAGAGAATACTTCTTACCAAACAAGTGAAAGGGTATAAATATTAGATGCTTGAAGGCAGTCGCCCACAGGAATCCTTGCTTGACCTGTTTCGTGCTAGTTGGCACTCACCAGTCAGCAAGGCATATCTGAAAATTTGAAGGAATTCATGTCCCTTCTGAGATTCAAACCCGCGTCACCCAGTGCTGTCTGTAGTCGGAGACGTAACCGCTGAGCTATTCGGGTTAGCAATATTGTATTGGATAATTTTGAGTGGACACTAGTTAGCGACTAGTGTAATGTGTGTGTGTAGTCCATTCTCTTTCGTACAGACTGAATTCTATCAGTCTAATATCAACACTTCAAAGTGCACCGTGATGGCAAGCCATCTTTGGTGACATGGTGGCCACATTGCAAACGTGACCGACAGAATTCAGTTTGCACCAAACAAACAGAGGACCAGACACACATTATACTAGTTGCTAGCTAGTGTTCAATCAAAAGTATGAAAGGGCATATGTTACTTTACCATGTTATCGCTATTTGTTTCATTTCTGGGGGTTCCGATCGGAAGCTTGAAGCTTTGAAGTTTCAATGGCGATGGTGTTATTTCTTTTTCCTTTGTTTGTTTTTCTCGATTACAGCTTGATTCCACACCGTATTATCGGTACAAATATGGTATTTTCAGCATGTGATATCGGTGGCCCAAATTTTGCAGACCGACCATTGATATCAGGTATGCATCGGCAGGGGATCGAACCCCGGACAATGTGCATGGTCGGCGACAGTCCCAACCACTGTGCCACCGACGCACAGAGTGAAGTTGCTAACCAACCGTCTAACTACTCAACCTTCCCTCTTCTCTTCATGCTTACTGGTGGCGGACCAACTGAGACTTAGGAGTGCATTAACCGGGAATTGAGCCACAGGTCATGTGAGTGGTTGGCGAGCATTCTCTCAGTGAACAAAGGACGTCAACGACTACAAATAATCATAGCAGTGAGCAAAGGTAAAGTCTGACCACAGATTGACACCAGTTACAAAACCCCTAGAAACCAATAGGGAGTACTGAAGGACAGCTATTACCTCCAGCTCGGGGACTCTTCAGCGCTATGTACCTTGGATCCCACTAAGTATTTATTTATAAAATATTCGCTCTAACTGATATCAAACCATGATCAAACTCGGAACCAATCAGATCCCTACAAACTAACACTTGAGAACAATAAAAAGAATAACAAAAACAATAATAATGAGGAAACAAAAACTCCTACAAAGGTGGTATTTAATGCATTCATAAATTTCGGTAGAACTCGTCAGCTGAATACTTTAAAAACATTGTTATTTTTATACAATCTTTCTTGAGGTTAAAGAGACTGAATCTCTGCATGCAAAAGAAGACAGTAGTTAGCTTTTAAATCTACCTTGGTGGCAATCTTTCATTTTACCTTCACAATGTTTGAGTATTAATCTTGGGTGAGTGAGGGTGTGTGGTTCAAACAATCTTATGAGTTTAGGCCAAGACATGTTAAAATCTGGTTGTTCAGTTCTATATGGTTTACATATGTTAAATTTATTTACTTATTTGTGCTTTTTACGAAGTTTCCCGGTACTTCAATATTATCTTCATCATTTTATTTATTTTTGGTTACACCTTGATTCCACACCGTATTTTTTGCTAGAGGTATTGGATTTTCAGCATGTGATATCGGTAGCCCGAATTCTGCAGGCCGACCATAGATATCAGGTGTGTGTCGGCAGGGGATCAAACCCTGGACCATTTACATGGTCGGCGAGAGTACTAACCACTGTGCCACCGACGAACATATCTAGGTGTTTATAACTGTATTAATTCTACCACAATAGGTTAGATCACGGATTGATATTAGTTAGAGAACCATCGAAAATCAGGACTGGAGTACCGGACAGTCAGATACTTCGTTCTAGTTTGACACTCACCGGTAGTACGCACTCACCGCCGGGGTTCGAACCCAGGACCTTCTGGTTACAAGGCAAGCTAACTCGTATACCATTCAGCCAATGGGACCCGATTCAATGGCCAACCTATGAATTCTACCATTTCTTGACTTTTAGCACAACCACCAACCAATGTCGTCAGCGGGAACTCACAGGTTCTCACTGGAACTCCAGTCAACTTCTTCCTGAAGTCAGTCACACAGAGAGTAGTTGATTTGTTAATATGTACTTCGCTGAATATTATTCACTGAATAATGACGTCAACAGATTATCACTCACACCACTTAAAGATCCTATATTGGTTCAAACTGATCCTTATTTATCGTTATCACAAGGTTCATGTGGTTGTATGTGTTTAGCCTTGAAAAGGAAATCTGATGCTTGCTAGTGACTTGCTCTACAGGATGGAGTTTCCTGGAGTTAGTTCTGGTGAGAAGTCGTGACCAGTGAAGTCCATCCAGTCAAGATGTATGAGGATGGATGACCCACCGACGACATTGGTTGGTGGTCGCGCTAAATGCACCACGAATTGGTAGAAGTTAGAATTCATGGACTGGCCATTGAGGAGTCGGTTCCCAGTGACTGCATGGTATACGAGCTAGCTTGCCTTGTAACCGGAGGGTCCTGGGTTCGAATCGAATCCCAGTGGGTGTGTACTGCCGACGATTCCCAAAACAAGGATGAAACAGCTGTCTGTCCAGTACTCCAGTGCTGGTTTTCAATGCTTCTCTAACTGATATCAATCCGTGATCAACTCATAAAAACATAACTAACCCTTACAAACCAAACTATTGAAAAAATAAACACATATATATGTAATAATGTTTGTAGAGGAGTATTCACAGATGACGAGTCCTTCTACCAAAATTTATGATTTCATTAAATACTGCTTTTTTTCGTTGAGTTGTTGCTTGTTTTGAATTTACCACGGGAGGGGAATGTTCTCATAAATAATAATAATAACAATGTAGATAACTTACTCGACTTATTAAATTCCACTGGAGAAGTGAAATTCATCAAATGCTGTTGTTGATAATGACTAGACGACGGTAAACGTTGTGATATTTGCTGTTGTGCTTGTTGTTGCTGCTGCGGAGATTGATGCTGATGTTGTGCTGGTGATGGTACGATTATATTGGAAAAATTTGAGTGTAAATTAGACATTAGATTTGGCGGTAAATTACTAGTACTACTATTATTATTATTACTATTATTGATATTTGTATTATTATTATAATTACTACTAGTACCTAGAATCCGTGAATTATTACTACTACTATTATTATTCAAAGCATGCGGTGTTGAATACTGCAGAGAATGTTGTTGTTGCTGTTGGTTTTGACAACCACCACCAACAGCAGCATGAGAAAGGCCTAAAGTATCCGATGTAATATGACGACATGGTATTGAAGCAGCACCAGCTATAGCTGTTGATGTTGTTGTTGGCGTCGTTGCTGAATTAGATAACAAAAGATTATTATTAGTCGTATTATTATTATTATTATTATTCTGTGAGAGGTTAGTTGAATCGACAATAAGACTACTACTCGACTGTAATCCACCGCCGCCTGAAGAAGAATTCTGTTGCTCTTGTTGTTGTACATTTGCAGAGAAATCTCGGCCTATTGTCATTTCTGTATCACAATGCGCAAAAGCACAAAAAGGACCACGTGGACAATAACCAGAATTTAAGACATCATTGCATTTTGTCGATTTGTATATCTGAGGAGACAAGATGAAATAAAAAAAAAAGAAAATAAACAAAAGAGAAGTAAGAGATTAGATATAATCTGTTGACATGTTCCACTGTTGATTAAGGTGTAATCAGTAGGGTGGAGAAATAAAACAGTTGAAAACTTGACTAACAGGTTAGCGCAACTAACCCAACTTGTTTGTAATCATTATTTTTTTAAAAAGAAACTGTTGAGTATTCAAAATATTAAATATTCCCACAGTAAAATTTATAACAACACAATTTAAGCGAACAATATTGTGGTTTCAATTAGATCTCATCAGGCTTAACTCTAATATATATATATATATATATATATATATATATATATATATATATATATATATATATATATATAAGTTTACAAATAAAATTCAAATATAAACCAATCATGGTGTTTTGTCTATAGGATAATACGATGGTGAATATAAATTGTGCAATTAGTCATAATAATAGTAATGATAATATTAATAATAGTAATAATAATAATAATAATGGTCTTATCAATAATAAGGATGAAAAAATGAGGCAATCTGTGATAACATGAATAATGAAAAACAGTATGATTAAACAAACAATTGTTCAGGTGGAAGTAGTCGATAAAGGTTAGTAAAAACAAATGAACCGATTACGTAATGTTAGATTGTAGGGGAAGGAAATGAAACACGTTTATAATGAAGATAAGATAAGATTAAGGGATGATAAGAGAGGGGGTTGGAAATATAAATAAAGGGTGGTGTAGAAGTCTTTCGTTGGTTATGTCTTATTAGGCCACGGGAGGGATAATGGTTGCACGAACTTCTTTTGAATGCATAGTTTAGGTTTAATAGTTCGGATGCCTATCGCCTCAGCTGTGTGCAGTAAAGGAATACGAAGTCTATTAGAAAGATTCGGCGGGATACGATGAATTACTTTGAAGGCTTTCGTTTTATCGACTACATATGACCACTATCAATTAAATGTGACAGAATTGAGCTACGGATTGTTTTTGTCTGTCCTTTGCCAAACCACGATGGGAGATGTTCACTAACACGTTGGATAAGCTGTCTAGTAGGACGCCCAACATAACTGTCACCACAGGTGTAGTTGAATTGATAAATGCACATAGATGTGACAAAACTATCTAGCCTATATTTTGTTTGCGTCCCAATCATTTGTCGGCTAGAGGATGACAAACGTAGGTGTGCTGCGTAAAACGTTCTCTGTATGCTCCTGGGAAGTCTCTGGAATAAAATCTCACTTGACAAGTTATCATTAAATTGTAAGTTAATAAATAGAGGTTTCTTACGTGCAGTCAGAATCTCAGGTTTTCTCTCTGATGTTTCTTTATGAAACTACTTGGATAGCCCATCTCCGTCAAGGAATCATGAATATATTCAAATTCCTTTTGTAAGAAGTCCTCCGTACATATCTTTCTTACTCTGCTCGCAAGACATTTTACAACATTCCTTTTAAATTTAATGGGCACGTAACTAAGGAAGTATGTGTATTGCCCTGTGAATGTGCTTTTTCTGTACACCCTTCTCCCAAGTGACCCATCTTCTCTCCTACTTAGCAAGACATCCAGGAAATGTAATTTATTCCCCTGCTCCTCTTCACAAGTAAAGGTAAGCGAAGGGTGAATGTTGTTGAATTTCCTATAGACAAAACACCATGATTGGTTTATATTTGAATTTTTATTTGTAAACATATATATATATATATATATATATATTAAAGCCTGATGAGATCTAATTGAAAACAATATTGTTCGCTTAAATGTGTTGTTATAAATGTTCAAAACACGAAAGATTTGACCGAACGATTGTTTTCAAAAACTTTATCCCTCTACTTAGGGTTAATTTTGTCTTTCGTGTTGATTAATTGATTGATAGTATTGGCGAGTGTCGAAGCGTCCGTACTAGGCGCCGACATTTCAAAAGAAACCGAACTCTCCGGTCCAGTACATAATCAGTGACCGAGGAGTGCAGAGTTAACTTAATAAGGTTAGCCACTGAGACCCCCGAATCCTAACTCTAAAACCATTTCATAATCTTAACCACCAACCAATGTCATCGGCAAGTATTTATCCTCACCTCCAATCGAGTCCCAGTGGCTAAATAGTTTATGAGGTCACCTTGTGACCGGAAGGTCCTTGGTTCCAACATCAATAGGTGCGTGCTGTGTCGATGGACCCCTAACCAGGACGAAACGGTTGGTTGTATTCAGTAACTCTCCTTTGGCCTTCAATGATTCTCTCTAATTGAAATATCAATCCGTAGTCACACTTTATTTTGTACTTTCTATTGATTGATCACATACTGGACCTAAATATTTGTTCTATGCTAACTAGGCGCAAGTGACTTAGTGGATGATGACGTTTCAGTGTCTGAAACCATCTGGGTGCTGCTGGGTTCGAGTGTCGGTGAGAACATGGAAACTAACTGAAGACTGCTAGAAAATCCACCAGATGATGAGTCCCAAATAGGACAAAATGAGAATCTTGAATTTCACTGCTGGTCAGCATTGAGCTAAAAACAACAACACGTTAATCCACATACACCGCCGACATGTCAGCAGGGACTGAACTTTTCGGTCCAATGTAATAATCAATCAAGGGGGGAAATACAAGAATAACTTCAACAACTGATTACTGCTACCCGTTGCACAAGAGATGGCGGCTCTCGCGGGTACTGAGTTCGAGTCCCAGTGAGAACAGTACCACTCACACTGGATGAAGGGAGAGGATTGCAGATATATGCAGCTGATGAGTCCTAAATAGGACAATATGTACATCCTGAATCCTGCTGCTAGTTACCCATCCACACTTTCTCATTAGAATATATACCAGTTATAAATCCATAAATATGATCACAGAGCTATATATCATCAGCAGATCACAAATGCTGATTCCGATTGAACTTCCTTGACCCCATTAGGCTTGTATTGTTACAACACAATTCTCGCATACGAAATACATGTATTTACACGTCAAGGACGTACGCTTAATATCTGATGATTGAAGATGCTAAACGGGTTGCCTAGATCGAGATAGGCAGAGCATGGTTTGAAGCTAGTAGCTACTGTGATGCTTGAAAATCAAAGAAAAAATATTTTATGATCGACAATGGAATACTTATACGAAGTGAACGACGAAAAAACAACAGAGGAATTAGTCTAGAGTTCACCAGTAATTGACTCTACGAAGAAGCTGCCCGAAGTTCTAGTGGGAAATCTTTACCAGTGGGACTAAGCAAGTTTAATGTGAGGACAAATACTCGCCAAAGACGTCCGTTGGAACTGGCGCTATATACATCGTGAATTGACAGAAGTTAGAATAGATGGACTGGCCAGTGAATTCCTTCCCACTGGCTGGAATCATCAGCGAAGTGGCCCCCTTGTTATATGAAGCACCTAGGTTCCATCCCTGAGGGTAAGGGGGTTATGGGTGGGTACTTCTGAGGAGTCCTAGCCTAGCATGATAAAACAGCTATACAGTATGGCTTATTGGTTTTTAATGGTTATTTTTAACTAAACTCAGTTCATCATCAACCTCAAGAATCAATCAAATCCCTGTAAACCAATCCTTGAGAAGCCATTATTATTTATTGCTGTTCCCTTGGGTTCCTAGTGGAAAATAGGGCTTCAACTGCACGTCTCCACTTGCTTCTGTCTTCCTTCTGCTGTACTTTTCACCTCCATCCATGTTAGTCCATACTATATCAACTCCTCTTCACACCATCTCCTCCATGTCAACCTTCCACCGACGTCCCACTCGCCGCTTCCGCTTCGGTCTGGTTACACTCGAGCAATGGCCTGACGCTCGCGCGATTTCACCCAGTGGCCGCCTCCTCATCCACGAGTGTCCAATCCATCTCCACTTTCTCGTGCTCATTTGTTGTTGTTGTTGGGCGATTGGTTCTTGTTTTGTTTGTTTGTTCCCAACCATAGTTTCTTGTTGGTGATTCTTTCTTCCGGCCCGGCCATCTGATCTTCAGTATAGAGCCAGCGAAGACAGTTGTTGGTTGATGAAGGTCTGAAACAGGCTGTTGGAAATATTCTTTGTGACCCGCCCTCCCGCCAACTTTCTGATCCGTATAGAAGAGATGACTGACTTGACGTTTGTATTGAAAATCCGACCGAATTTTGTTGTTGATTCTGAGTGACGAAGATTTCCAGATTGGTTGTTTCCGGTTGATGAGTGAATGCGTTTCTCGCCTTCCCGATTCTCGCTCGATTTCACATCCTCGTCCGTTCCTCCGTTCCTGTAGTTGAGACAATTCTCCCTAGATAATGGAGTGAATGAAGTAACCCTTTTCAAATCTTTCGCGTTGATGGTGGTTAGATGGCTGCATTTCGCTGCTGCTGTTGTTGTTGGTTGGTTATTTTCCGTCTTGTCTATGTTCACTTGGAGTCCTGTCTTCTCTGGCTGCTTCTTCGACCAGTTTGTCGATTTTCGCCTCTAAGTCTTCGATTTTGTGACAGTGACATCAAACATATATCATCCACGTGCGAAATTCAGGTCTTCTAGGTTCTTCAAATCGGTCGGTCCAGGATATCCCCCCCTTGTCTTCTCGTTTCCCACTCACTGTCTAACGCATAATCCAGTCAGTCACTACAATTAGGAATATCATTCATTGGTGATAATAAGCACTTTTGTCCTCACCAATCCTTGAGAAGTACTTTTAATTACAAACGGATTAAGAAAGCCAGTTGTTTAGTCTGTTAAAAACTGAGATGCGTTTTAAATATTTTAAAAAACTGAGACTGATTAGCATCATCATCGGTGAGCGTTAACGGATGACTAACCAATTCTGGAGGAAAAAAGGGGGAAAGGATCTGGCGGGAATCTCTTAAGCGAAAACGAAAACAAAAATAGAAGACAAGCCATCTAGCAGACATAACAAATAAACCAGACAACCTTTTGATTTGATATATATTCACAATAATTAAAAATAAGTTATTTTATTTTTCGACCAGTATGATATTATTCATTATTATTATTATTATT